TCTCTTTCTCTCTCTTTCTCTTTCTCTTTCTCTTTCTTTTTCTCTTTTCTCTCTCTCTCTCTCTCTCTCTCTCTCTCTTCAGGGTTCCACTCCCCTTCAGCCACGGTTCCTTTAGCTTTCAGGGCTTCAGCCAGGGTTCCACTCCCCTTCAGTCAGGGTTCCACTCCCCTTCAGCCAGGTTCCACTCCCCTTCAGTCAGGGTTCAACTATCCTTCAGCCAGGGTTCCACTCCCCTTCAGCCAGGGTTCAACTATCCTTCAGCCAGGGTTCCACTCCCCTTCAGCCAGGGTTCAGCCAGGGTTCAACTATCCTTCAGCCAGGGTTCCACTCCCCTTCACCAGGGTTCCAACTATCCTTCAGCAGGTTCCACTCCCCTTCAGTCAGGGTTCCACTCCCCTTCAGCCAGGGTTCCACTCCCCTTCAGCCAGGGTTCAACTATCCTTCAGCCAGGGTTCACTCCCCTTCAGCCAGGGTTCCACTCCCCTTCAGCCAGGGTTCCACTCCCCTTCAGCCAGGGTTCACTCCCCTTCAGTCAGGGTTCCACTCCCCTTCAGTCAGGGTTCACTATCCTTCAGTCAGGGTTCCACTCCCCTTCAGTCAGGGTTCCACTCCCTTCAGTCAGGGTTCCACTCCCCTTCAGCCAGGGTTCCACTCCCCTTCAGTCAGGGTTCAACTATCCTTCAGCCAGGGTTCCACTTCCCCTTCAGTCAGGGTTCCACTCCCTTCAGCCAGGGTTCCACTCCCCTTCAGTCAGGGTTCCACTCCCCTTCACCAGGGTTCTCCCCTTCAGTCAGGGTTCCACTCCCTTCAGGTTCCACTCCCTTCAGTCAGGGTTCACTCCCTTCAGCCAGGGTTCCACTCCCCTTCAGTCATCCTTTCAGTCAGGGTTCCACTCCCCTTCAGTCAGGGTTCCACTCCCCTTCAGTCAGGGTTCAACTATCCTTCAGTCAGGGGTTCCACTCCCCTTCAGTCAGGGTTCCACTCCCTTCAGTCAGGGTTTCACCCTTCAGTCAGGGTTCCACTCCCCTTCAGTCAGGGTTCAGCCAGGGTTCCCTTCAGCCAGGGTTCCACTCCCCTTCAGTCAGGGGGTTCCACTCCCCTTCAGTCAGGGTTCCACTCCCTTCAGTCAGGGTTCAACCCTTCAGTCAGGGTTCCACTCCCCTTCAGCCAGGGTTCACTCCCCTTCAGCCAGGGTTCCACTCCCCTTCAGTCAGGGTTCCACTCCCTTCAGCCAGGGTTCCACTCCCTTCAGTCAGGGTTCCACTCCCCTTCAGTCAGGGTTCCACTCCCCTCAGGGTTCCACTCCCCTTCAGCCAGGGTTCCACTCCCCTTCAGTCAGGTTCAACTATCCTTCAGTCAGGGTTCCACTCCCCTTCAGCCAGGTTTCCACTCCCCTTCAGTCAGGTTCCACTCCCTTCAGCCAGGTTCCACTCCCCTTCAGCCAGGGTTCCACTCCCCTTCAGTCGGGTTCCACTCCCTTCAGCCAGGGTTCCACTCCCCTTCAGTCAGGGTTCCACTCCCCTTCAGTCAGGGTTCCACTCCCCTTCAGCCAGGGTTCCACTCCCCTTCAGCCAGGGTTCCACTCCCCTTCATCAGGGTTCCACTCCCCTTTCAGGGTCAGTCAGGGTTCCACTCCCCCTTCAGGCCAGGGTTCCACTTCCCCTTCAGTCAGGGTTCCACTCCCCTTCAGCCAGGGTTTCTATCCTTCAGCCAGGGGTTCCACTCTCCCTTCAGTCAGGGTTCCACTCCCCTTTCAGTCAGGTTCCACTTCCCTTCAGTCAGGGTTCCACTCCCTTCAGTCAGGGTTCCACTCCCCTTCAGCCAGGTTCACTCCCCTTCCCAGGGTTCAGTTCCACTCCCCTTCAGGTTCAGTCAGGGTTCCACTTCCCTTCAGTCAGGGTTCCACTCCCCTTCAGTCAGGTTCCACTTCCCTTCAGTCAGGGTTCCCACTCCCCTTCAGTCAGGTTCCACTCCCCCTTCAATCAGGGTTCCACTCCCCTTCAGCCAGGGTTCCACTCCCCTTCAGCCAGGGTTCCACTCCCCTTCAGCCAGGTTCCACTCCCCTTCAGCCAGGGTTCCACTCCCCTTCAGCCCAGGGTTCCACTCCCCTTCAGCCAGGGCTTCAGGGGTTCCACTCCCCTTCAGTCAGGTTCCACTTCCCTTCAGCCAGGGTTTCACTCCCTTCAGTCAGGGGTTCCACTCCCCTTCAGCCAGGGTTCCACTCCCCTTCATCAGGGTCCACTTCCCTTCAGTCAGGGTTCCACTTCAGCCAGGTTTCCACTCCCCTTCAGTCAGGTTCACCCTTCACCATCCCTTTCAGCCAGGGTTCACTCCCCTTCAGTCAGGTTCACCCCTTCAGTCAGGGTTCCACTCCCCTTCAGTCAGGGTTCCACTCCCCTTCAGTCAGGGTTCCACTTCCCCTTCAGTCGGGTTCCACTCCCCTTCACAGGGTTTCACACTCTCCTTCAGTCAGGGTTCCACTTCCCCTCAGTCAGGTTCCACTTCCCCTTCAGCCAGGGTTTCCAACTTCCCTTCAGTCAGGGTTCCACATCCCCTTCACCAGGGTTCCAATCCCCTTCAGTCAGGGGTCCACTTCCCTTCAGTCAGGTTTCAACCCTTCAGTCAGGGTTTCCACCCTCCCTTCAGTCAGGGTTCCACTCCCCTTCAGCCAGGGTTCCATCCCCTTCAGTCAGGTTCCACTCCCCTTCAGTCAGGGTTTCCACTCCCCTTCAGTCCAGGGTTCCACTCCCTTCAGTCCAGGGTTTCACTTCCCCTTCAGTCAGGGTTCCACTTCCCCTTCAGTCAGGTTCCACTCTCCCCTTCAGTCCAGGGTTCACCTCTCCTTCAGCCAGGTTTCCAATCCCCTTCAGTTCCAGGGTTCCACTCCCTTCATCAGGGTTTCCAACTTCCCTTTCAGTTCAGGGTTTCCAGCTCCCCTTCATGCCAGGTTCCAATTTTCCCCTTCAGTCAGGTTCCACCCCTTCAGGTCAGTGGTTCCCAATTCCCCTTCAAGTCAGGTTCACTTCCCCTTCAGGGTCAGGTTCCACTTTTCTCCTTCAGCCAGGGTTTTTCCCCCCAAATTCCCCTTTTTCAGATCAGGTCCCCCAAACTCCCCTTTCAGGGTCCAGGGTTCCAACTTATTTTCCTTTTTTCAGTTTTCAGGTTTCCACTTTCCCTTTCAATTTTCAGGTTCCCACTTCCCCTTCAGTCAGGTTTCACTCCCCTTTTCAAGTTCAGGGTTCCACCTCCCCTCATCAGGGTCCACTCCCCTTCAGTCAGGCTTCNTCCCCTTCAGTCAGGGTTCAACTACTTCAGCCAGGTTCCACTCAAGGGTTCCACTCCCCTTCAATCAGGGTTCCACTCCCCTTCAGTCAGGGTTCCACTCCCCTTCAGCCAGGGTTCCACTCCCCTTCAGTCAGCGTTCCACTCCCCTTAAGTCAGGGTTCAACTATCCTTCAGCCAAGGTTCCACTCCCCTTCAGTCAGGGTTCCACTCCCCTTCAGCCATGGTTCCACTCCCCTTCAGCCAGGGTTCAACTACCCTTCCCCCACGGTTCCGCTATCCTTCAGTCAGGGTTCCAATAGCCTTCAGCCAGGGTTCAACTACCCTTCAGCCAGGGTTCCACTCCCCTTCAGTCAGGGTTCCACTATCCTTCAGCCAGGGTTCCACTCCCCTTCAGTCAGGGTTCCACTCCCCTTCAGTCAGGGTTCCACTCCCCTTCAGTCAGGGTTCCACTCCCCTTCAGCCATGGTTCCACTCCCCTTCAGCCAGGGTTCAACTACCCTTCACCCACGGTTCCACTATCCTTCAGTCAGGGTTCCAATAGCCTTCAGCCAGGGTTCAACTACCCTTCAGCCAGGGTTCAACTCCCCTTCAGCCATGGTTCAACTACCTCTCAGCCATGGTTCAACTACCCTTCAGTCAGGGTTCAACTACCCTTCAGCCACGGTTCAACTACCCTTCAGCCACGGTTCAACTACCCTTCAGCCATGGTTCAACTACCTCTCAGCCATGGTTCAACTACCCTTCAGCCATGGTTCAACTACCCTTCAGCCATGGTTCAACTACCTTTCAGCCTGGGTTCAACTACCCATCAGCCACGGTTCCAATAGCCTTCAGCCACGGTTCAACTCCCCTTCAGCCACGGTTCCACTCCCTTTCAGCCACGGTTCCAATAGCCTTCAGCCACTGTTCAACTACCCTTCAGCCAAGGTTCCAATAGCCTTCAGCCACGGTTCAAATCCCCTTCAGTCAGCGTTCCACTCCCCTTCAGCCATGGTTCCACTCCCCTTCAGCCAGGGTTCAACTACCTTTCAGCCATGGTTCAACTACCCTTCAGCCATGGTTCAACTACCTTTCAGCCAGGGTTCAACTACCCTTCAGCCACGGTTCCAATAGCTTTCAGCCACGGTTCCAATAGCCTTCAGCCACGTTTAGCCTTTGGTTCAGCCACGGTTCAACTACCCTTCAGCCACGGTTCCAATAGCCTTCAGCCACGGTTCAACTACCCTTCAGCCACGGTTCAACTTCAGCCACGGTTCACTCCCTTCAGCCACGGTTCCCTTCAGCCAGTTCCCCTTCAGCACGGTCAGCCACGGCCTTCAGCCACGTTCAACTACCTTCAGCCACGGTTCCAACTTCAATACCTTCAGCCACGGTTCAACTACCCTTCAGCCACGGTTTCAATAGCCTTCAGCCACGGTTCCAATAGCCTTCACCACGTTCAACTACCCTTCAGCCACGGTTACAATATCAGCCACGGTTCCAATAGCCTTCAGCCACGGTTCAACTACCCTTCAGCCACGTTCAATAGCCCTTCAGCCACGGTTTACCCTTCAGCCAATAGCCTTCAGCCACGGTTCAACTACCCTTCAGCCACGGTTACAATAGCCTTCAGCCACGGTTCCAATAGCCTTCAGCCACGGTTCAACTACCCTTCAACCACGGTTCCAATAGCCTTCAGCCACGGTTCAACTACCCTTCAGCCACGGTTCAACTAGAGAGACAGACAGAGAGGGAGAAAAACAAAAAAGGGACAAAAGGGAGAGAGCGAGAGACAGCCAGACAGAGGCAGAGAGAAAGAAAGAGAGCAAGAGAGAGACACACACAGACAGACAGAAACAAAGAGAAGAGAGAGAGAGAGAGAGAGAGAGAGAGAGAGAGAGAGAGAGAGAGAGAGAGAGAGAGAGAGAGAGAGAGAGAGAGAGAGAGAGAGAGAGAGGGAGGGAGAGGGAGAGACAGAGACAGAGACAGAGACAAAGAAAAAGAGAGAGAGAGCGAGAGACAGCCAGACAGAGAGAAAGGAAGAGAGAGAAAGAGTGTGTACTTCCAAGTATGAATGCACTGCAAACAGATTATAATTAAAATCATATATCCTGAAGACCACGACAGTAATGAAACCTACATGATACTCCAGAATTAAAAGTTTCGTGACCACAGAAGCCAAAATTATTCACACCAAAAAAAAAAAAAAAAAAAAAAAAAAAAAAAAAAATTTGCTTAGAAATGGATTTAGCGCGTCGTCGAACAGAACAAAGTAAGGTTGCATTTCAACTTTACGTGTTATTAGTAACTTGTAATAAAATCAAAATGGACTATCGATACTAGTGGATCGATAGTTGAATATCAAGTTTATAAACATGTTTTTTTGACAATTATTGTGTGGATTGGTATTGATAATTACTTTTGTTATTATAATTATTACCATTATGATCGTCTTTATAACTATCATCCTTATCATTATCATCACATTGCTATCATTACTATCATTATCATCATAACCATCATCATTGTTAGAATTGCCATAATCATTATCATTATTGCCATTACCATTATGATTATCACTGTTATCATATCATTATTAGTATTACTATTTTAATTACTATTATTTTTTATATCTCTCTTCTCATCAATATTGTTATCATGTTTTCTTATTATTATTATTATTATTATTATTATTATTATTATTATTATCATTCGTCTTCTTCGTCTTCTTCTTCTTCTTCTTCTTCTTCTTCTTCTTCTTCATCTTCTTCTTTCTTCTTCTTCTTCTCTCTAATTATAGCTCTACTATCCGTGTCAGATATTAGCTCCACATTTCTACATTTAGTCGAAAAAGTTGGAAAGTTTTCGTCAGAAATTAAACAACTTTTTCTCGAAACTTCTTTAATTGCAACACAACATCACACCAGACTGGTATAGGTGCGCCTTGCAACATTCTATCTCTCTGCAGTTCTGTTGCACAAGACGAATTCCACAGTTTTTTTAACTTGATTAGACATATTAAAAGAGAAAGGGGTGTGTAGTTATCATTGTTGTTAACAGATGTCGCTGTGGTAGTTTTACGCGTACTAAATGCCATTTATTCGCAGGAAAAGCAAAACTGGCAACTCTCTCCGGATTCTGGAACACTCCGATTTCGCCAGGTTTCTTTTCGATAAAGAATGGATAAGTAAATAAAATGGTGTTGAAGATGACAAATTTCAACTAAAAACCTTTTTCTAAAATCTACATAAGTTTCCAAAATACAAAGTAGATGTCACCGTGAGTATTAACAGTGAATTAGTGAATTTGAATGAGAACAGAGGCAGCGAATCGGAGTTCTCCAGAGTGCGGGGTGAGTTGCCAGCTATTTCCTTTCTGAGACTAGACGCACTATAGTGTTATTTACGTCGTATTTTACTATCAATTATGTCCTTATGTGTTCTTTTCTCTGCAATGGTTGCTGGATGCGCGCGCGTGTGTGTGCTTGAGAATAATTTCGCAAGCAGTCATATGTGCACAGTATCAGTTTTTTAATCTTACTAGCATATATGTATGTAGGGTTTATGTATGTTCTCTCTCTCATCTATCTATTTATCTATCTCTTTCTCTCTTTTCTCTCTCATTCACTCTTTCTCTCTCTCACTCACTCTCACTCTCGGTTTCCTTCTCTTTCTCTGTCTCACTCCTCTCTATCTCTCTCTATCATTTCCTCTCTCTCTCTCTCTCTCTCTCACTCTCTCTCTCTCTTTCTCTCTCTCTCTCTCTCTTCTCTCTCTCTCTCTCTCCTCTCTTCTCTCTCTCTTCTCTCTCTCTCTCTCTCTCTCTCTCCTCTCTCTCCTCCCTCCCACCTCTCCTTCCCCTCCCTCCCCCTCTCCTCCTCTCCTCTCTCTCTCTCCTCTCTCCTCTCTCTCTCCCTCTCTCCTCTCTTCTCTCTCTTCTCTCTCTCTCTCTCTCTCTCTCCTCTCCCTCCCCCTCCCCTCCTCCTCCCTTCTCTCCCCTACCTCCCTCCCTTCTCTCTCTCTCCTCTCTCTCTCCCTCTTCTCTCTCTCTCTCTCTCTCTCTCTCTCTTCTCCTCTCCTCTCTCTCTCCTCTCTCTCTCTCTCTCCTCTCTCTCTCTCTCTCTCTCTCTCTCTCTCTCTCTCTCTCTCTCTCTCTCTCTCTCTCTCTCTCTCTCTCTCTCTCTCTCTCTCTCTCCTCTCTCTATCTCTCTCTCCTCTCTCTCTCTCTCTCTCCACTTCTCTCTCTCTTCCTCTCTCTCTCTCTCTCTCTCTTCTCCTCTCTCTCTCTCTTCTCTCTCTCTCTCTCTCCTCTCCCTCTTCCTCTCCCTTCTTCTCCTTCTCTCCTCTCTCCTTCCTCTCTCTCTCTCTCTCTCTCTCTCTCTCTCCTCTCTCTCTCTCTCTCTCTCTCATTTTCACCATCATCATCATCTTTTCTCTCTTGTGCCTCCGCCAGCCGCTGAACTCCCGGCCTCCTTGATGGCGACAGAGTGGCGTCTTCAATCTCCTTAAGAAAAAAAAAGAGAAAAAAAAAAAGATCGTTCCCTTTGTACCATCTTGGCGACGCTGATGAGAATTCTCTTTCTTTCTATTTCTTTCTCGCTTTGTCTCTTCTTTCTCGTTTTCTCTTTCTGGTTTTCTATTTTTGATGGGTTTTTTCTATCTTATGGTTTCTTTATTTATCTTTCTTTTGTTTTTTTTTGTTTTAATCTTTATGTTTGTTTTTTTGTTTCTGGTTCTGTTCTTTGATATTTCTTTTCTTTTTTTCGTTTCATTATGTTTCTCTCTCTCACTGTTTTGTGTGTATTTCTCTTTCATGTTTCGTGTTTCCATTTGAAATATATTTTCTTTCTCTCTTTCTTTCTTCTTTAAGTCTTTTTCTTCTCAATCTTTTTTTTTTAATGACCAAAAGCTTTTTTTTTATTTTTATGATTTTTTTTGCTTCATCTTCTTTTTATCTTTTCTTTTCTACTTTTTTTTTTCCTTTTTTTCCTTAAAGACAAAAAGGTTTCAGATTCGGCAACTTTGGGTGTGATGGCAAATTTTATGACCGGGGGAACTAATGCAGTGTTTGTGTCTTTGTCTCTTTCTCTTTTTCACCCCCCCCTTATCCTCTGTCTTTGTTTGTCTGTTTGTCTGTGTCTGTCTCTGTCTGTTTGTCCACTTCTCTCTTTGTTTGTCTGTATGTTTCTGTCTGTTTGTCCACCTCTCTCTTTGTCTATCTGTCTGTCTGCCTGTGTCTTTCTTTCTCTTTCTCGTTCTCCTCTCTTTTTCTCTTTTCTCTCTTTCTTTCTCTTTCTTTCTCTCTCTTTTTCTCTCTCCTCTCTTTCTCTCTTCTCTCTCTCTCTCTCTCTCCTCATCTCTCTCTCTCTCTCTCGTCTCTCTCTCTCTCTCTCTCCTCTCTCTCTCTCTCTCTCTCTTCCTCGCTCTCTGTCTCTCTCATCTCTCTCTCTCTCTTCTCTCATCTCCATCTCTCTCTCTCTCTCTCTCTCTCTCTCTCTCTCTCTCTCTCTCTCTCTCTCACCCTTCTCTCTCTCTCTTCTCTCTCTCTCTCAACTACCTTCTCTCTACTCTACTACTCTACTCTACTCTACTCTAACTCTACTCTACTCTACTCTACTCTACTCTACTCTACTCTGTGGTGTGTGTGTGTGTGTGTGTGTGTGTGTGTGTGTGTGTGTGTGTGTGTGTGTGTGTGTGTTGTGTGTGTGTGTGTGGTGTGTGTGTGTATGTGTCAATGGTAAACTCATGTGCACTGAATATACACTTCTGTGAATTCATGCGCACATGTCCAGAGTCTACATGAAAACATATGTATACATGCGCTTGTGTAAACTGAAATATTTATTATTATTTTTGCGTATTCCTGTTTCTCTTCTGTTTCACTTCGTAGTTTTAATTAATATATATTGGGCATTTATATTTAACAGAGAAATCGCATACGGAGATAATTTTATACTGAATCTATAATACTCTTTGGTGTCTGATTACCACACCGAGTGGAAAAAATCTAGTTTATTAATTTTAATCATATTCATCTATTCATTAATTGTAGTATTTTTAGTATCTCCAATAATCTTCTAAAACCACAAGATGTATATCCGCATCCTGACTCCTCCCCCTCAAAAGGAGAAGACACGCCTACCCTCCCCCACCACCCAGGAGACACTAACGCCCCACAGGTGAGAGTACCCATACCTTGCGGGTTGTTGTCCTCCATTTTGTTTAGGTCAGAGTGACTGCCCCGTGACATGTACGGGCGAGTCCACTTTGGCGCGCGCGGGGGCGTAGATAGCCAGGTTCTGTTGAGCGAGCGTAACAGTACGGGAATGGAATGACTACGGGGTGAATCATACAAAATCAGAATTCACAGTTTCCCCTGCTCGAATTGATTGGGAGAGTCCATTTTGGCCGACGGGGGAGGTCGCGTGGTTGCCTTCTCGTGCTCCAAGAGAATAATTTTTTCTAATTTATTTATTTATCTATTTTTAAGGATTACTGGCTGAATAGATTCTGTTGATGAATAACGAAGAAGTATGAGGAACTTGAGACGTAATGAAAAGAAATAAGATATGTTTGATGGATAGAGAAGGAATGGTGATCATCTGGTGTATGTAGATATAAATGTTAAGAATATATAAACACATGCATAGACACACACACACACACACACACACATACACATATACACACACACACACACACACACACATGCATACATCCATGCAAATACACAATTT